ATTAAGAAAGGACTTGTTTCGCTGAAGTTTCTCGGAAAGAATTTTTACGGGAGATTATCAAAGAAGCAGATACGTAACTATATGTTAAATTCATGCGATCAGTACTATGTTCGTTTCCTTAAAGTAAAACCAATATCTACATATCAGACACAGGAAATTTTTGACGAGTATTGATTTTTAAACCATTTTTATTAAGCAAATATATTTCAATGCATAAAATGATAGACAGGGAATATATATTCCATTTGAGTTGTTTTTGTTATTTTTTCTTCAAGAATGCACAGAAACAAACACACAAATGAGACAGGGGGCATTACGATACAGCCATGCGATTATTCTGTTGTGACCAAGATTTAGTAGAGAATAATGTAATAAGTTACGGCTAGGTGGCGTTTCTTTTCGCTACACACTCTTATTACGCAAAAAAAAAAAAAAACAATACAAACTTTAGACGATGCGATGCATGGAAAAAATATTCGTGACTAAAATTATTAGAAATTAGTTAAAATGTTCTAATTTTACAGAAAAATGACATTAACAATGAAAAGAAAATACAAAATGAAAGACACAAGATACCAAAGTAAGTTAATCTTTTATCACTTTTATCTTCAACAACTTTTCATCTTTTTATTTACTGGCCTTGATAACACAAATTAATACTCTTGTGGCTCAAAGATATAATTTTTAGCTTAAAGTTTCGGCTGGAATGCCCGAAGTAACCCATTGCTTCACTAGGTGTCTCTGTGTTAATTAACGTGAATATATGAAATCAACACAAGGGATTAATGGATAACTATGAAACATAAAACATTTTTGCACAGATATCCTTCCTATTAACAGGTTAAAACTGAATACAATTTAAATAGATAAGTTATATCATTTTTTACAGGGAAATGAAACTAAAACCTATTATACTTAAATCTACATTGGCTGAAAAATACATTATATATGCAAAAAAAAGAAGAAAAAAATACAAATTTGTCAAATCTTCGATTGAACAAAATCAGTTTAATTATGTTTAACATTTCAGGGGTTAGTTAGTCCTAGATACAAATTTTGTTATTATTATTATTAAAGATGATTTTTAAAGTTGCCATTTCACCAGCTTCTTTTGCTTTACTTTGTCGTATCGGTTTGGTCTGTCACAGTGTTTGTACCAAATTATCTCACAAACTAGACAAAGTTTAGTTCAACCTGTCACAGAAAATGTTGAAGCCACTCCCCCCCCTCCCCGAAGAAAAAAAGAAATAAACCAACGTATCATGCAAGAACTTTTCTACTTTCCTCTAACTCATGGTAGAATGTTACAAAATTTGACTGTGATGTAACTACAATAAAGGTAAACTACCCTGAGAGAGTTGGATTTGGGGAAATGTGGTTCAAAATCACGTGGTTAAAATCTACATACTCTCGTAAAGATGCTTACAAGGTGTTAAAGTTAACGGTTTTAATTATTCAAGAAAGATTCGGGAAGTCACGAATGACTAGAATGAATAATAGAGAAAAGAGAATTCAAATGTAGTCACTTACAAGAAACGATCCATGATTAGACATTTTCTTTCTTAAAATGATGGCTAACATATTACATCGAACAGATCTGGCTTGACCTTCACCTGAAGAGGTCCGAGATACACCAGGTTATTAGACATTTTCTTTCTTAAAATGATGGCTTACATATTACATCGAACAGATCTGACTTGACCTTCACCTGAAGAGGTCCGAGATACACCAGGTTATTAGACATTTTCTTTCTTAAAATGATGGCTTACATATTACATCGAACAGATCTGGCCTGACCTTCACCTGAAGAGGTGTCCGAGATACACCAGATTATTAGACATTTTCTTTCTTAAAATGATGGCTAACATATTACATCGAACAGATCTGGCTTGACCTTCACCTGAAGAGGTCCGAGATACACCAGGTTATATTAAAACTTATGACCTTGTTAAAAATTATTAAGTTTTAAAACATTTAAGTCACATACATGGATACGCTCAGACAGTTTGTTTGTTTGTTTTGAATTTCGCGCAAAGCTACACGAGGGCTATCTGCGCTAGCCGTCCCTAATTTAGCAGTGAAAGACTAGAGAAGGCAGCTAGTCATCACCACCCACAGCCAACCCTTGGGCTACTCTTTTACCAACGAATAGTGGGATTGACCGTCACATTATAACGCCTCCACGGCTGAAAGGGTGAGCATGTTTGGTGGGATGGGGATTCGAACCCGCGATCCGCAGCGCTCAGACAGACAGACTCGGAAGATTTAGTTATCCAATATCGCGATATGCAGAGAAAACAATAACCTGCGCAGTGGGGCATAGCAATGGAGCATGCGTGGTTGTGTCATCTCGCCTTTCAACTTTAGACTAAACGAACTTGGATATTGAGTTTAATATACGAAACATAACTAAAGAAAGAAAATGACTAATTATTAAAGACAAAGTAATAGCTGCGTAATGACTTAACTATCCCTGTAAAAAAAGTCATCTTCTGACTCCTTCTTTGTGGACAAACAGCAATATATTTCGCAACAAGGAACTCTATATATTCTCTTTCTGAGATTCTGTTGCAAGAAACTTTAATGGTTTTATTAATTTTTTACAGGTTTTTTAAAAAAGCTTTTGAATTACTTTAGTCAAAACACTAGAACTGAGCGTTGTCCAACATTTTCGTGACTACTTTGTCATTAAAATGGCACTAGTTGAGAAGTTAATTAAACTCTGATTTTCTACGAGGTTGATTTGTAGAGTAAAACCTTCAAGTCTTTGTTCGCTAGTTTGATATAACATTGTTTGGAATGAGTCGTGGCACCAGTCCAGTTTTTACCAACAATACAATGCCAAGTAGGTCCATAAATTACGTCAAATTTTTCTTTGATGTTTTCGGCAATATGTTTTTCTGTTGTAAAAATTCGCACAGCCTGGTCCAGACTTTCTAAGGCTATCCGTTGCATGTACTTCGGCATGTCTCCAGCCTCAATTTTCGTGTAACCTGCGGATTCTTCTTCCTCTACTTCTGTTGATGTGGTGGCAGTGACGCTTGGTAAGTCACGTCCGTTCGATCGAAGAGTGTTCGTACTTCTGTGGGTCTCGAGAGGGTATATGTCTTTCCGAAGACTGGTGCTAGAAACAAAACAAATTAATCTACGTTACAATAAGACACGCAGTAGGTTTCTTAATAAAGTGATCAACTCTTCGTATCATCTCAAAGTTAGTATTTTCAGCACTTTTTTTTCTTGTGAAATTAATGTAACTCACTACGTATATTAGGCTTAGCTCACATTAGGCCTAACTTAGATTCAAAAGTAGTGTGGACTTTTCCTACTGTTGTTCGTAGTTAGAACGTTACTGAGAAAACGTATTGTCAATTTATGGCCTAACTTTTTTCTAACTGGAAAAGAATTGACGTTCTTTTTTTGAGAGACGATTTATTTAATGATGATAAAAAAATAATGAAATTCACGGTCAAAGGTTAACACAAGAAGTCATTCAAAGTTCAAAAGCTGAAATAACTGGAAATGCAAATTAAATAATAGGTGTAGATGTTATATATATACTCAACAGTTTATCAAAAATCCCATACTATTTTAACCTATCACGCCCGACCCTGGGATCGAGTATGATGCTATTATAAGTTCGTGCAATTAAGTTTCTTGTTAAGTATTTGACAAAGAGCTATACATATCTGATTATAAATATCTCTTCGGTAAGAGATTTGGTCATTGACTCATCAGCTACTTAAGCACTTCCTGTTTAGGGCACGAGAACAGAACGAGCCGGATTTCTCGTCCTTGCGCGACTACAGTTGAAGTATGAAATTTGTTTATTTTGTTTCGCTGTTATTAAGATCATAAATAAGGTTAGGCTTCATTACGGTCCTAGGTGCATTGGAACTTTTTACCAGGGGGAGCCACTTACAACGAATCTGAACTTTTCAAAAATCACTTACACGTAAAGGCTGTTGAGCAACTAGCAACACTATACAATATATATATAAACTATATATGTAAACTGTGGCGGAATGCTACAAGTTCTTCAAATACCTATAGAATGATAGGTTTCTTTTTTTGTGAGTTTAAAACACTTAAATACACCATTTCGAATATATCTGTTATGGACATTTTAACAACTGAGAATGTAGAATCTTTAAGTGGAAATCCTGTTGTTGTTTTGGTTTCTCTATTTAAGAATGGCTACTGTTGCTCCCGCTTGTCCCCCTACTCCAACGACCTGATTAACATAATGATAATAAATAGAAATACCCGTGCGCTACCTTTATGAATAGCATATACTGAACACTCGTCCACTGCATACACAGATAATATATATGAATACATGATAGGTTCTTAGAATTGTTAATGCAATTTTCTCCAGCTGACGATGTGGTTACTTGACATGTTCCGGGAAGAATAAGACTAGCTTGTCTTGACACGTTCCGGGAAGAATAAGACTAGCTTGTCTTGACATGTTCCGTAATGAATAAGACTAGTTTGTCTTGACACGTTCCGGGAAGAGTAAGACTAGCTTGTCTTGACATGTTCCGGAAAGAATAAGACTAGTTTGTCTTGACACGTTCCGGGAAGAGTAAGACTAGCTTGTCTTGACATGTTCCGGAAAGAATAAGACTAGTTTGTCTTGACACGTTCTGGGAAGAATAAGACTAGCTTGTCCTGACACGTTTCGGG